CGCTCTTCCGATCCATCACTTGCAAGGAAGCTTTCTTAACGTCGCCACACGTGGATCTCCTGGGCTGCATGCTACTTAATTGAAATGGATGAGGTTTTCGAGCAAGGGCAAATTGCCGATATTCGTGATAATCTGATTTTCCAGACGGTGGCTCTCGATGCTGCAACTCTGGCCAATTGCACTCAAAACTATGTGATTTTCGTGGATGAGACAATGTTCGACATCACTATCGACCTTGAAATGGACACTCCTCTCAATCCGATTTTCACCCTTCAAGGGGAAAATGGTTAGTAAGAGTGGGGTTATTATTTCAGCCTCTTTTTTTCTTGTCCTATTTTACGAGCTTCAGAGGTGTACTCCACGCTCATCATAATGGGAAAAACCTCAGCCATTATTATTCTATCCTTTTCAGCGTTCCGGGGAGAGGGGGCGATAAGAAGATAAGCACACTGATTTGGTGTCTCCGCCCGATGCTACTGCGCGCTTAATACAGAGCAACTGCGGTAAACCATGCAGAGCGACTTTATTGGAGGGAAAAGAGAGAGATAGTGATGAATAGCTCATATAGCCCGGAATCCACTGCTCGTCAGAAGAAACTTCTCTGACGAGCAGCAGCAGAGCACTGTCTCTCAACTTGCTACATCTTTTTTGCACTTTTCGATGCTTTCGCAGCATGTCCTCTATTTCTTCGCACCATGCAGAAAGTCCAAGAATGCAAGTGAGTCTCGCGATCACCTTCTAGTCATCTAGTCGCCCTGTCTCGCCAAGTGTGAGCCGGCTGACTTCTTGTTCAAACTACCCTGAGCATGGATTTCTATTCCTTCAGACTGTGGTCATACTTGTGACTTAAGCCATTCAGACACGCGGCTACCACTGGCCGCTCTCCACCAGACCGTTGCATTATTCGTGATAAGTTCTATCATTGATGCAATGCAACTGGCAGTGGCGGAGGTGCAACAATTAGCGCTGGGTCGCGTTCAGTCGCAGTCGCACGGAGCGCTTGAGTCGCGGAGTACAAACGCACCTTGAAGTCGTTAGGCACAATCGCAGGAGGCGGGCGGTTGCTTCCAGCGTCATCGGTCTAAGCCTTGCGTGTTGGCGTTTGGCCACACCCCCACGCAGCCCTTCCACCAATGACGTTGGCGACAGCCGCCCGTCCCCAAGTGCCCA